GCGAGTTTCTTTGTTAGGAAGGTGTTGGTAATGTTTTCTAATAAGTGTTGTGGATAGTAGTTACGTTTCAGGATGTCATGTAAGAAAGAAATTTCAGAGTGTAGATTAAGATATGTGGAGCACAGGTTGTAAGCTCTGTTTAGTAAGCATGTAATAAAGTTTCGTTTATACGTAAACAAGATAAAGCTATCAAAGTGTGTAAGGAAACCAGTGGACATCTTTTTTCAGTAAATTGATGTGGAAAATATTCATTTAAAAATTTTAATTACCAGAAACTGACAGGTAGTAACTATTTGTGGTACTGACTTTTTAAAAAGCCAAAATGCATAAAATAATATGAATCATTAATTTTTGGCTGAAAAAAGTGAAGTTTTCAAAAGTACTTAAACCTATCATAAGAATCTTGGCAAACATCTAAAACGAGATAGACTAGACCTAAATTTTAATGTAGTAGTAATAAATGATTATTTCTTCTGTACCACCAAATTCTTATGTGTACCTCAAACAAAAAATATAGGGTACACTGTACCCCAAATGATCAAATTTAAAAGACATTTTCAAACATATTAATAAAACACGAAAATAAGTAAGTGATTAATAAAGGAGTTCTTAAAGATCTAAAGATTCTTTATAAAAGAGTAGCTGAATTTGAAAGGAAGACATAGAGAAAGCTTTCCTTTTTCTTGTCTATTTTACTGAAACATGTCATCTGGCAGGTTTTAGTTCTGAAAGATTTTCATTTTTCCTGCACTTCTTGTATGTACAACATCAAGTGTGTAGTTAGTCAGGGTTTTTTTTTTCACCTCATTTCTGTTAGTTCCATTTTTAAACTTTTTTTTTGTGTGTCTGACTGTTGAATGTCACAATCTTGTCAGTTTACTCTGTTACCTTAACCCTTCTGCATGTCCCAACATTTTACAGAGTTACATTGAAAATATAATTAAACTATTTTATTATCATTGTGTATGAATAAACTTGTCATTGAAATGTAGTTTTAAAAAAACAAGATGACCTAGGTGATTACTATATTTCTTGTTTTTCATGTGTATTCTTCATTTATTATTACAAAAGCAACTAAAATGTAAAATATAGAAACTGATTGGTTAGATAAGGTAAGATAATGAAATTAATAAGAGTATAAATTCTTCATGAGGTATACTCATTAGCAGGTTGTGCATTACATAATTCAATACACTAACTTGAGATGCATGTTCATGGAGTGATTTATGGCTTGTGTGACAGGATTATTAGTTAGACATGGTTTAAAAGGCAATAAAACAGTAAAATTAAGCATAAATAGATATATACTGTTAGGACCTTTAAGCTATTTAGGATAAACAATTGGGTTTCCTGTTACAATTTGCAATCATTCTAGAAAGAAAAAAGGGGTAATTTAGATTAATTTACTAATTTATTATGGTGGTTACAATGTCGGTCAAATTGACTAAGTTAGGATAGAGAAAATAACAAATAAAGTATAAAGTTATGATATTTATTTAGAAAGTCTTAAGAGATTACGCAAATGAAATTTTAAAATTTTAAAATGAGAAAGCACTTTTAATCTAACATGAAAATAACTTTGCACTCTGAGCAGTCAACACTCTGACTCCATATATTTTGTAAAAATACTTAATTAAAAATTCAGAATTTCTGTCTACATAAGACTTGTAATGTTTACTGAAAGCACACCGAATTTTGTGAACATATATTAAGTACCTTAAGAGTTACAATGTGTATACCTTCATGGTTACAAGTTGGTTACGAGGTCACGTAAAATACACGAAACCATTGTGAAAAAGTTAACACTATATCTGCCCATCCAAAAGTTAAAGGAAATACCTGGTGTTAAAAGAGATACTAACTGAACTTAGTTTATAGTGGGTTTCTTCAAGTTTTTTTTTTTTTACTTCAAACACAAACAGAGTGATATTAAAAGTTTAATTCAATGACATGACCTTGTACAACTAGTTATGACAGATAAACTGCTCTGAATTTATTTCCACTTGGACATGATGTATCCTTAGAATTCAATTTAACAGTTTCTATGTTTTCAAGCTAAATTTAAAGTAATTTTAGTAATATATTTTTCATGAGGCAAACTAACACAGTAAAAGACAGTGCTTATGGGTGGAAATTTTACTATAGTAAATTTCATTCATATTTTCAAAAAAATTATATCAGTTCAAGTAACAATAGTACAAGAAAGATAAATTTTTATATTATATTTTGGGAAAGCTTTCACTGTTGTTTCTTCTGAGAGAACCAATAAAGCAGTAAACGTGGCAGTATTGAAGAATTTGGTTGAAATAAAACATTCCCATCTTTCTTTTGTTACACTTCTAACTTTAACTTAGTCTTTCCTTTATTTTATACCTTAATTTTATGATCTTTTCCAATTTACTGCCCCACAAATCGAATACTTACAGCTTTTTACCAAAAGTAAACAGAGTTGTAATATTCCTGAAGCCAATTCTACAAAATAAATCTGCATGAAGTAAACACTGCACAACTTCCAAATCAGCTGACAATAAAAATCTCATACAGTTTTCTCTGCCATCTATTGAGCTTTGAACATATTTTTCTTTCACAATATATAATGATCTTGATTACATGTCCTATCAATGCTGCCCTTAAAACATCCTCAATGTGAATGTTCTTTGCTATGGAACATCCACACACTTTTCAGCTAAGTCTGTCTGATACTTCCAGGAAGATGTATTATGGAGTTGAAGGATAACAAACGTGACTGATCACTGCACTCCCACACTCTGGAAACCTAAATCTTGATCTGCATGTTCAATGTGAATTTATAGAATGGTGTTCAGATGTCTTCTGAAATTAGCAGGTGTTTCAATTTTTTTGTCAAACCCCTATACCTTTTGTGTTGGCCAAGTAAAATTTTCAACTATACATATAAGAAGACAGTTGGAGACTTCACAGAGTGAAAAGCAAATAACATCAATAACAAATGAAGTTATAGCATGAAAAACACTAGTTATGGTAAAATAATAGAAAATTTTAATAATAAGAGCTATCTTGTTTCTGAGCTTGCTCTCTCTCTCTCTTAATTTCTATATTTTCAATTTGTACATAGACTAAAGTCTGAAATAAAATTTTGGATACATTTAACACCACTAACTTATATCATCTATAAACAATTAAAAAATTCCTTTACCTTCCTTCATCATCTTCCTCCAAAATACATATGGCTTCAAAACATTCTGAGCCGTGTGGATTTATGTCTTGTGTAACTTCTTCACAACAAGTTTGTGCACAGATGGCCAAACCACCTTGAAGCTATATATTGATTGAAAAACACAAGTTAGTGCTGTTCACTTTGGAAGGTTACCATTTAACCTAGTGTATGATTCTTTCACAAAGTTAGCAAGTTAAAAATGTCCAAGTTTTTCAATGCATTAACAAATATTGGTAACTTTTGAGCATAAAAGTTTTAAATATAATTCAGTTACCTAAATTAGAAGTAAAATTTAAGTAACTATTTGCTTATTGTAGACTTCATGTGAAGGATTAAAAGGACCTTCTTCACCTGTAGCATAGTTCAGAGCAATCATAATGTTGAAAAGTAGACTATGCTATGGTTGAAGGAGATATGCTAATCCAACATATGAAGCCTAGATTAGGCAATCAGCAGTAAGTTACTGTGAAGGATTAAAAGGACCTTCTTCACCTGTAGCATAGTTCAGAGCAATCATAATGTTGAAAAGTAGACTATGCTATGGTTGAAGGAGATATGCTAATCCAACATATGAAGCCTAGATTAGGCAATCAGCAGTAAGTTACTGTACTGTTAATCACAATTTAACTTTATTGATTACTCCCTTTTAAATGCTTTTTTTAAAAATACCCCCCCCCCCCTGTTAATTTCAGCATTTTATAAAGTGTACAATGCTTTGGTTTTGTTTGGCTTAATACATTTTAGCATTTCCATTTAATTTATGGTACTGTCAAATTACACATACAGTGTGTCACATCCACATAATTTTTTTTGGAAAGGTGCGACACAAAACATGATGCTAAGTATGTAAAATCTGATATTGTCAAGAAAAGGAAGGTTATTTTTATCTTGAATGCTTACAGACTTATTTAGCAGAATTACCAGTCCTCACACATTTGGCATTGTTTAGTAGATGAAAAAATAGACATGAGAAAAACATTGATTTATAAACCTTTAAGACTTAATAAAAAAAATGTGATATTTTGCATATGAAAGCATTGTAATGTTTACTTATAATCAGCCAAATTTCATTAACATTTGCTTACTAATTTAAAAGTTATAGCATGAAAACTATAACAAGCACAAGATGGTTATGAGATTGGTCCCAGAGACCAAGTCTGTGCTGAAAAGAGTTAAAAAGTCACGTTTCCAACTTTCACACAAAAATGCCTGTACATGTAACTTTTGGGGTCACCCAAGAATGCCTGTACACGTAACTTTTGGGGTTTTATTACCTAGTCTATTATCATTTATTCTACTTTAAGTTAACAGCCATATCTTAAAAACCAAAAAGAATATTTTTTTATTAACAATCCCTACCTTAAATTATTGAGTAAATTAAATGTACAGCTAGTTAAAAATACAGCTTCAAAAAAAACACACACATAAACACCAGCATTTTCTAAACGAGTACCACAGCTGGAGGATGCTCCATTTAAATTACCATATATATATAGGTTATAGGTCATTAGCTCTACTTTCTGTTAAGAGGGTAGCCCTGAAAAATGCAAATTCTGAATTATCACACTAATTTGATAAATATACATATATATATCTATATAAATAAGAGTAAATATTTTATTTTTACCTACATGAAGAGTTTATCATTGCCCTCATATACATGCCAATATCATTGAAAAATATGAAGTTTGATTTTGAAAACTTAAAATATTTAATCCATTCTATAGTTTCTATAGTCAGTCATCAAAATCATTGATACAGTAATATGAAAAAAAATTACTCTTCATTTCCCAAATTAAAATAAGTAGCAGCTACTTTTCTTATAGGTAAGTTAATGCTATTCCCCTCTTTTCAATACTACTAACCTGATGAGAGAGGCAAGACACCTTGCTACTAGTTGGCATGCTTGTCTCATTATCAGTCACCAGTGGCATCTTCCTCTTCGGTTTCACGTTACTTTGTGACTGAACCAAGGATGCAAGAAAATGCATCAGCTAATACAATAAAATGAAAGTAGAAAAAATACATTTAAAGTTTAAAAATAAGGATATGGCTTGCATACAAAGTAGCATGTGACAAAGTAAAAAATCTGCTAAGCTTAAAATTGCTCTCAATCACCATGAGTGAGCTTGTCTGACTATAAGTCTTGTTCTTTTAACTGAAATCTAAAAGCTAAAATTAACACACTCAACTTCCTATCAGTTACTGTTATACAAGTTAACAGAAGTTACAGCTAGAATCAAATGTAACCATTAACCTTTTATAACTGCTGTGTGACAGGTTAACTGTTACAGTCAGACTAAACCTAAAAAACTATTAACAACTCTTGTTATAAAACTTAAAGGATAACAGATAACATGTAAAATCAAATGAACAAACCTACTTAACTTTCTACTGTTCTATGATAAGATTTAAGTAAAAAAAATAATAATAATGAACCTATCTATATATTATTGTATGCAAGTTAACACACTAACAGATCAAATATAAAAAAAATAATGACCCTGTTTAACTTTCTGCTGTTGTATGCACATTAACACACTAAAAGGCCAAATATAAAAAAATAATGACCCTGTTTAACTTTCTGCTGTTTTATGACAAGTTAACACATTAACAGATCAAATATGAAAAAATAATGACCCTGTTTAACTTTCTGCTGTTTTATGACAAGTTAACACATTAACAGATCAAATATAAAAGAATAATGACTCTGTTTAACTTTCTGTTGTTTTATGACAAGTTAACACATTAACAGATCAAATATAAAAAAATAATGACCCTGTTTAACTTTCTGCTGTTGTATGACAAGTTAACACAGTAACAGATCAAAGCTAAAATATTAATGAACCTGTTTAACTTTCTACTGTTGGTTGACAGGTTAACATGCTAACAGATTAAAGCTAAAATATTAATGAACCTGTTTAACTTTCTACTGTTGGTTGACAGGTTAACATACTAACAGATTAAAGCTAAAATATTAATGAACCTATTTAACTTTCTACTGTTGTTTGACAAGTTAATATACTAACAGATTAAAGCTATAAAAAGAATGAGCTTGACTTTTTTCCAACAACAGCTGTACGTTAAAAATGAAATCATAATAGTTAAACAGTTCAACTTTCCATCAGCAATTGTTGTAAGACAAGTGCACAAAGGTTATCCAATTACATTTAAATAAAACTGCTTTATCACACATTAACTTCATTAAAGTTAAAGAACAATTCACCTATTTTACTGGTGCTACCAAATTATAGCTACACAAAATTTAACCTATTCAACTTGTTTTTTATTTTATTATCAATAATTGTTGTATAAAAAGATTACAAAAAAATATAGTTAGTGCTAAAACATCTGCTCACCTTTTCAAAAACCAGGTGTTGTTTGATGTGTTTTTGTTGTAATATGGCTACTTCTTTGAGCAATGTTTCATTTTGACTTTTCAGACTAATAAGAACAGAATTAGTATTTTCTTGATTGTTTTTGATATTTTCTATCTCACTGAAGACTTTTAGTATGATGTCATCTGTAAGCTGCCCTCTGTCTTGAGTTTTACCAAATGAATTCTGAAAGAACAGAAAAGCATTTATTATGTAATACTATAACTGCAACACAAAATTCATAACTCCAAACTTATCAGCGAATGTAAGTTCAACAAGGGACTTATTCTCTAATTTTTACAAAAAATAATATCTGAATAAATACACACACAAACATTGAGTGATTATAAAGGAATTTCCCATACTTAAAATGATATACCTTAAAAAAATAATTGTTCTAAAGGTGCAGACTGTTTTATTCAGGAAAGTTTGAACATGTTACACAGCATTCTTATTTGCTTTTCTTACAAATTAGCAAAGTTTTTATTTTTTTCACTTTTAACAATGCAAGTTTAGTGATTTGAATAAAATGCACAAGAGCTTGCAGAATTATGCAGATGTTGTTTAACGGTGCTATCAAAATAATGGCAGATTTACCTTGGTCAAAAGAAAATCACAAATAGAAAATGGGCACCCACTTCACTACTAATTTCTATAAGAAGTATTAATAAATTAATTTATCGAGATTGTACTAGCAAATATCTGGCTACAGGGTTTCCTCAGAAGAAATGCCTATCCAAATAAGCCCATGATGTTTAGAGGCTCTGAAAACAGCCATTAGAAATGAAATTGTGAGGATCAATGAGCATTGCCCAGAATAGTTAATGCTTCATTTAGGGATAGGTTTGAAATGCTGGTTGAGAATGACAGAAGGCATACTGATCACCTTTTGAAACACACCTTATTAAATACAAACTTCTTGAATGAAACTTATCATTTGTAATATACACCTGGCAGAATTTAGTCCCCTCCAAAGCAAAAGTGATTTTTAGGAAACTGCCATTTTAAACATTAAGAGTGGGATTTTCCTCGTAATCACCATATATGTCCGTCTGTAATCAAATTCGCCTACATTTCTACACAATAAAGAGTTTAATTCTTTTGAAGGACACTAATAAATATAAAATGAATATGAAGAACTCAGTTTACAGATAAAGTGCTATGATTCATCACGTAGCAAATCATCTAAACATTATTTAAATCTATAACATTATTATTATTATTATGATATTATAAGATAATAAAGTATTATCATCTAAACATTATTTAAATCTATAACATTATTATTATTATGATATTATAAGATAATAAACTATTATTTCTTACAAACTCCTATCATTATATCCCCACAATGGTAAGTTAACGGACTTCCAATGCTAAAATATGTGGTTTAAACAAGGATAGCCTATAGTGTAGCTTTGTGAACACCAAACCTATTATCACAAAAAAAGTGCATTCAAAGAAAAGCTAAGAATGAAAATATACATTTACATTATTAATTTGCATACTTAAAACTACCATAATTGGATGAACCAGTACAGCATACAAAATGCTAAAGATGTATTTTTAGACTTTGTCATTAGCTATTTCATGAATGCTTGAGAAATCAGGTAGTCTTCAAAAGGTTTAATAAAGAATGTGATCATACTGTCAGAAACTTACCTAAATTATAGAATGTTAACATTTTCCATCACTGAAAATATACTTTCGATAGCCATTTACCTCATCTCACATAATAGCTTTCCTCACTTTGTGTTGCACTCAATTTTGGCTCACAACTAGCCTTGAGGCTCCCACCTAACATCACATTTACATGTGGTATAGCTTCATTGTAGCATGCAACAACTCTCCACCAATAGGAGTGTGAGACATCCTCCTAGTGAAGCTGACTCCATTTACACTGTAAAGCACAATTATCACTTAGACATTAGTCAAAAAATAAAGTGCACCAGAAGTGGAGATAATGGGTGGGAAGTGTAAGAAGAGATACTTATCTATTGGAAATACATTTTCAATATTGGAAAATGTTAACTTCCAATATGGATACCTTACCTCCACTCACTTAATAGATAGAATCTCACATTAAAATGGTGAAGGGACTGGTGTAACATGACCTAGATGAGCACTCTTAAAAAGGTTCCTAAAGAGTGCTGATGGAGTGTGATACCCTAATTTATAGGATCACACTCATGTGAGACCACACCCGATCTTTACGAAGTATACTCTTCACCCTCTGTAAAGATATGTGTAATCCAAACAGAAAATATGCAGGTCCAACCAGTAATTGGATGTACCAAATGGTGTTGATCATATTTGGTGTGTCAACTCCAGTCCAAAACTAGGCAGCATTGTGTATTTATCTACTAGTTCACAGTAGGAGGGTCCCAACATCTTCACCTCAAGAACAGGAAGCAGTAGGGAAAACCTGGGCTGGGCACATGTGTGCAGACCCAGAACACAACCAAAACCAGAACACTCAAGGACCCAACATCTGGAAAACGTTAGGAAGAGGGAATGCAAACATAGTGGGTCAGCTCTAATCCAAAACTGGTCTTTAGTGGGGGGGGGGGGACTACTAACTACATGTGTAAGGACTGTGTTGGCAGGTAGCATCAGGTATTTATCTTCTGGTCCAACAGAACACTACTGCCCTATTCTTAATTGAGTGAAAGTAGTAATGCTCAGGAGGATGCCTTCTAGTTCCTCCACCCCAGCAGTTAAGAAGTAGTAAGTGACAAGGGCTCCCATACTCCATTAGAGGAGGGGGGCAACAATGTGGTGGAGAATCCAGAGGAATGCAACACCTTAAAACTTTGTAATGGGTGATCACAAAAAACCTATTCTGAAAAGAAAGCTGGTCCTGGTTTATTCAACTAGGACCCAAGGAATGGGCAGCAATCCAAACACTGCTTTACTCATGATAGTCCACGAGTTGGTATAATCTGGAATGGAACTTAATTATAATGCAATATTCAGGAAAGAACCCTCTATCAGTTTTGTGGAACCCCATCTCATCAGTGAGTGTTATAGACTTGTAACCCTTTAAACACTTTTTTTTGCAAGTCACTGTGTTACATTCAAAATGTAAATAAACACCTTTACTAAGTGAATTAAATTAACATTATAATGTATGTTATGATTCAAAGTTTTTTGTTATCTACATTTTAAGTCCTTTATCTCAAAAGAAACCTCTGAAAACCTAGTTAAAACTTCAGATGTATTGTCACGTGACCAATGAGCCATGAAAATTATCTACTTTGGCACTCTATCTTCAATAATACAATGGTAGTTGTGTAGATGTACATCTAGAATGCTGAAATGTTTACATAATCTTTTGACTTGCATATTTCCAAGATCTCTAACTGAAAGAAGCTGAAACAAGTAATAATTTTTTTTCAACCCCTGACAGGTGTCATGCCCTCCTAAAACAGATTTATTTGAACTTTGTAGCCTACATGTCAATGTTACATACACTTGTGTATAGTTATTAGAAAGAGCTCCTTTTACACTATAATCTAACAATGGTTATTTTGAATTTGCCACCCCATTATCGTCATGGAGTACATGTAACTGACTGCAGTATTGTTAGCTACTTAATTGACTACAGCACTTACGGTTATTTCTTACCTAAATATGTTATAGTTAGAAATACAGTTTAAATTGTATTTAGGTCTTATTATTACATTTTAGTTAATTATGTATTAGTTATGTTTTAAAATGCATAATTGAAAAGTTTAAACATTTTTTAAATATAAACCATACTTTATGTCAGTTCTCAAGACTTAAGATATTGCAAGGTGCATGAAGATTTTGCCGATGGGTTGTGCGTGTCTGCCAAAGACACTGTAATATGCCTCAAGGGCACTATTGACTTGTGTTGAGATGAAGAATAAATGGTAAAGGACAAGAAAGGAAAATAAAACATTAAAAATCAACTATACATGAAAAGGTTTAAGTCATGAAATTACTACTATAACCAAAACCATATCTTTAAAGATATTCTACAAAAAATTAAAAGACATATACTTTTTTCCTATTTCCTAATTTTAATCATTTCATTGCATGTTTATGATAATAGCTAGAGTTAGTTATATGGTAGAGAAAATTAAAAATAAACATTTACCTTAAAGCACTTTTGATGTTCATTTAGGAGGTTCTAGAGGTTATGCAAATGAAATATGAAACTACAAGATGAAGAAAAGTATTTTTATACTTAAAATGAAAATCACCTTGCACTCAAAATATTTTCACAGTTTTACTGCAGGCTTGTTAACTTTCCCGATTATGATATCTCCCAATATCAACCTTTTTTAATAAATTAGCAAAAAAACAGTCACAAAATTCAACTTCACAGAGTGCCAACTAGGATAAAGTAAATATTTACTCATTTTGGATGACATTGTTATAATTTGTTGTTATACTATCTGCTTGTTGTATCATATTCCAATGCATCGAGTTAATAGGCATTTTCAATGGTGAGAAAGATCATAATAGAGAACAAAACTGATTTAGGGCATGACACAGTATGTGTCCTTTTAAACTGCAAGTTTAACTCAGATTTTGATTCCTCAACCAGCATATACAAGCCCAGCAAGCAGGTATTGAAAGATGCCAAAAGTGCAACATACGAATATAACAAAGAACATTAATTAGGATATGTGTATTTTTCAATTCTTACAATAAAAGTGTATAACAATATTAGTAGATGACTGTTATTCTCTTAGTATATAAGCCCACTGTAAATAATAACATCATTTCAATCTTATAGGTGTAAATAAATGTCTAAAGTTCCCCAGAATGTATAAAAGTGCACTTTTGTTTTCTAAATTTTCTGGTCTAGATTAATAGTAAAATGTAAAGGACAGGAAAGGAAAATAAAACATTAAAAATAAGTTTTACGTGAAAAGGTAAAGATCTGAAATTATGAATATAACCCAAAAAAAAAATATTTTAAGATTATTCGATAAAAGATATGCACATATTTCTATTTCTTAATTTTAGGCATTTCATTGCATTGTATGTTGATGATAATAGCTAAAATTAGTGATGTGGTAGAGAAAATGAAAAATAAAATATAAAAATTTACCTTAAAAACACTTTTCAAATAATATTTAAAAACTAAGATAAAAAAAAGTATTGTATACTTCACATGAAAATCACCTTGCAGAAGAACTATTCAGAGTGAGTGCAAATAACTACAATAATGAATTTTTAGTAGAAATAGTAGCAAAAATCAAAATTAAAAATTATATTTTTATGCAACTTTCAAAAAGTTCCTGTCAAACTCCTTCCAATAGTTTTAATTTTGGAAACATTACATGAGTTACATTATGTCCTCACGATATAAGGACTCAGCGACTAAGGTATTACGACAAAGTAATCAAACCATTAATTTTTTCATAACAGAGCATTACAGTAGGAGTTTAACACAATCTTGAAACAAAACATCAACTTATTTCACAATTAAATAAATCTAGAACATAATAAAGTAATCAAACCATTTGTTTTTTTAACCCTTTCACAACAGGTTCATGTATTTTACAACCTTGTAACCATGAAGGTATACATACTATAACTCTTAAGGTACTTAATGTAGCTTCACACAATTTGGCAAGCCTTCAGTAAACATTACAAGTCTTTTATAGACAAAAAATCAATATGTTTTGTTATTTTTACTAAAAATTTGTCTGTAAATATATGGAGTCACAGTGTTGACTACTCTGAGTGTAAAGTGATTTTCAAATTTCACTTGCATAACCTCTAAAACCTCCAAAATAAATACCAAACTTTTTTTCAGAAAACTATATACTATATTTCTTTTCTCTACCATAACTCTATACAGAGGTCAGTCAAATTAACCAACCCCATAACCACCATATAAAATTAGAATCTCAATTTAAATTACCCATTTTTCTTTCTAGAATGACTGCAAATTGTGACAGGAAACCACAATTGTCTATCCTACATAGCTTAAAGCTTGTAACAGTATACATCTGTTTATACTTCATTTTATTGACATTTGAACCATATTTAATTAAATTAATTAAATAATGGATCTAAGAAAATAGAATAAAAACATACAAAAAGCAAGCAATGATCTATAACTATTATAATTTTTCTGGCTTCCTAACGATGTGATAAGAGCTTTAAAAATTCATCTAAGCTTATTGATGTGATTCCCTGGGAAAAAATTTGAAAATGAACAACAAAATAGACAATGTCCTGTACAGAAAACAATATAATATAATGCATCATTTGATAGATTAAAACTTTGACTTTCTACTGGCAACTTGTGAAAGAGAGGATGTAACAGGTGGGCATGGCAAGTGGATCTGATTTTCTAGTTTATGGCTTCATAAACAAATAAAATTGAAAGCTATAAAAATTATGCTTTGCCTAAGTAACATTTATATCATAATAAATAATTCATGTTAAATTCTGTAGTTCTCAGATGGATGGAAAATAAATTAGAGAAGAGGGACGACCTAGAGAGCAAATGTCAATTCTCACACTAGGAGAGATTGAGGATATTTCCTTATAAAAGTAAGAACATATATAGTATTATGATTTGATTTATTAACTACGTTTTGATGCCAAGTTTATTCTTATACATTGATAACAAGGTAATTTAATAAAATTTTGAATGTAACTCTGTAATAAATTTTGACGTGCACTTTGACCTACCTCAGCAGACATTGTGAAACCTGAAACTGAGGCCTAGTGTTATAACTGCTGTCTACTTATGGTGAAAAAATTATCAACTGCCATAAGAAGACAAAATACATATGAACAAAGTAGAATTTGGAAAACAGAAACAACTCAAAAACAAATGAGTAGAAACTTCAACTTGAAACAGAAATTAATTGGTGAACAAGCCCAATCAAAAATTGTGCAATCACATGGAAAATGTAAAACACACGTCTATACAAGAGAATGGCAATCAAGAAAGTCAGGATTGTGCCGCACTAGTATAAAGGGCACAATGGGATTGGTGGAGGATGGTCACATAATCAGCACATGTTGCTGCAATGACACAAAAAATATAGGAGTATAAAAGACTGGTGCACATTTATAAAAATTTACCAATGCCTGCAGGGCAAATGAAAATTGAGAAGAGATAGTACCATTTCAGAACATAAACATAAAAAATTGAAACTGTATACCTGCATTGTTGTGAACCAAAACATCGAAATTCTTTACAAATTTCTCAAAGACACTTATGCCAATGATATAATTTGTTCATCTGAGAAATATGAAGAACAAAATATTAAAAAGTGTCTGCAAATTATGAAGAATTTTTGTGTGAAATGTTCACAAAATTGCAGTTTTCTAAAGAACATTGTAGCAATGTAGGCAAGATAACTTTAGATACTTTATTACTGCTGAATTAAATACTTTGTTTCTAAATAATAAAACTGATATACCTTTCTCCTTATGAATTCAAGTAGTTTCTTTTGTCCTCTTTGGAAAAACTGGTGATAAAATTCGACTTCATAATTATTAGCATTATTACTATAACTTTCCATTCTTGTGATCTTCTTAAATCCATCTGTAAAATAAAAGTATAAAAATTTGGATAAACTTTTTACATCTTAAGTAACATCCATACCTTGTGTATGTGTAATACTTTCAAACATTTTTTAAATATAACATTTCAAGATTCCTGCTTCATAGATTAATAATTAACCTTAAAAATTGTGTTTGATAAGTTTGTCTAACGTGAATAACGTGCTACAAAATTTTTTTTCATTCCAAACAAATTACTTTGTTAGAAGTTAACATTTTCTAACACTGAAAATGTATTTCCAATAAGTACTTACCTCAGCTAACCCATAGCTATCTCAGCCTTCATTTGCCCTCTAGGCATTGGTAATTTGTTTTTTATAAATGTGCACCAGTCTTTTATACCCCTATATTTTTTGTGTCATTGCAGCAACATGTGCTGATCATGTGACCACCCTCCACCAATCCCATTGCACCCTCTATACTAGCACAGGTAGCTCCCTCTACCCATGCGGCACAATCCTTACTTTCAAGAATTGGTATATACAAACCTAAAAACACCAGCAAATCAGTGGAGAGGAAGGGAGGTAAGTACCTATTAAAAATACATTTTCAGTGTTAGAAAATTTTAGCTTCCAAAACAATATTACCTCCACTCCACCATAGCTAGAATCCCACATTGAAAAAAGTGGAGGGGCTGGTGCAGGTGCAAAAACAAATAATCAAGCAGAGAATGACTGCTATGAAAAAAGCAGGTGTGCCACAATTAAAATATGAGGCACATCTGCAGGGTATAGCACTACTTCTGGAGAGGTATGCTCTTCAACCAGTAAAAAAGACAAGACAAACAGGGAGGAACCAAACAGAATACGTGGCTAGGGATAGGCCAAGTGTGGTACACCCAGGCAGAAAACATCCAGGGGAAGCACCTTGGCATAGAAGATATTATGCCAAGTGCAGTCCAAGGACAAAAACAACATGGAAGCACTTTGCATAAGTTTGTAAAATCAACAAGTGCAGTCTGCCCAAGCAAAAACATTCTCAGTGTTAGAAAATTTTAACTTCCAAAACAGTATTACCTCCACTCCTCCATAGCTAGTCCACCCATGCAAAAACATCTGGGGGAAGCTCCTTGGTATAAATTAGATTATGTCAAGTGTGGTCCATCTGGGTAGAAAACATCCAGTGGAAGCACCTTACATAATAGATTTCATACCATTTTGTATGTATAATATGCAGCATAACGATAATAGCCCTCTTCTCATCAAGTGATTACATATGGCTATAAGATTGTGTTATCGTACAAAACCCAATCTAAGGAAACTTCCACAGTCCACCACTCCAGCAACTGGGAACCAGAAGTGGCAAGGATCCCCATGTCCCACTAGAAGAAAGGGGGACAGCAGGTTGGAGGGTGTGGAGGAACAATCCACCTGATACAGTGCAATGGATGTCCGAGTTTTCCTATTTTGAAAAGCAGAAAGACCGAGATTGGAAAAATCATGGGTCAGTAAGGATGGGCAAAAATCTCTATCTGCTTTGCTCATGAAGTCCATGAGTGATGGTCCACAGAATATTATATACAGAAACACCCCATCTTCACATTGAACATTGGAGAAGTATACAGATATAGTGCTAAGATACAAGTTTCAGCATACCTGACCAGGCAACACCCACCACCAGGTGGGATCCTGAAATATGATGTATAAGCAATGATAGAAGAGAAAAAAAAAATAATATGACAACTTACCCCAGTCACAAGCAAACAGACATGTGTAGAATCACCACAGGAGAAAGACTATCTGCCCGAGGTATACACAGCAAAAATGTGCAGAGAAAGTGTGATTATAAGGAGTTTTGTCTACATACAAGCCTGAATTATCTTCTCCAAAAGACGGTGGTGTTGAGCAGCTAAACACAGAGGTAGATGATGAATTAGGTGAGAAGAAACAATATGTAAATGGAGACTGGTAAGGGACACATCCAAATACGCCAAGTGTAGGAGTTAACGAACTCAACCCGTGAGCATAAGAGAAAAATCAGATGAAACAATGAGACAGGAACTAGAACAATGAAAGGAGACAGTAAGAGCCAAACAACAGAACATGGAATTAATAGGACAAATAAGATAATCCAGAAACAAATGGGAAAAGGAAGGAAATAGGAGAAAGGCAAAACAACCTACATGAGCAGCCAAAGTCCAGGGATGGAATGCTGGATCCAGATAAGAAAAAAAAACGAGAAATAGTAAAGGATGGCATAAAAATTGGAACGGCAAAGACCGCATGCCAGGAGGGG